TTGTGCTCTCAAATTTCCCCGTGTTTTCACAGAACTGCATCTGTGACTGTGCAGCACTACAAAAATTTCCTGCGAATGTGCTAATAGGCCTTATGAGAATGTTCTATCACCATCCATCTGTCACTTTTTAACAGGCCTGATTGGCAAGCACTTGTAACAACTGACATCTGTTCTTGCTTATTGATATGTAGATTTATGGTAATTGCTGTGAACAATAAGACACAAAATTACCTAAGGTGAACATTAAATTAAATTTTCATGCCCCTATCCTTATAAATAATTTTTTTAAAAAAATCTTAAGTTTCAAGCAAGGCATACTGTGCATCTGTTTTGTACATAATTTAATTGTTTTTTTTAATCTGCCAAATAACAAAATGAAAGTTGAATTTCCTTGCAATCTTGAATATTTGCCAAGCTGATTGCACATTGGTAAATACATGTTATTAAAAATGGAATCAAACTGTATTGTGATTCTGTGTTTTTTTTAATCATTCCACTTTAATTCCCAACATCGTCTCTATCATGAAGATCAAGAGTTATTCCTTACCCAGAAGTTTTTTTTTCCCTACAGGGGGATTTTCATTTTTCATGTGCAGCTCTGCCTATGAGGCTGTTCTTCAGCATTAAGCAATTTGCATTTCTTCAGAGAGAGGTGTATGTGCTGAGTGAGCAGCACTTTCAAATAAAAACGATCTACTCATTTTCGGTCCATCTCTGTTGCGGGATTTGGGACTGTTTTGAAAAAACTGTAGGATGGGAAATGTGTGAAGACAGTGTGTGAAAGAGAGGAGAATGAGAGAGCAGATTAGTCCCACAGAACTATGCCTTGGCTGAAGTGCAATTGATCCAAAATCCCCATTTGAAGCAGAGTGCCTTTTGGGTCTGGGACTTGAGAGTGTTTGGTTTCTCTCCTCCAAGGTTGTCCTAGCAAGCAAGATGTTGTTGCACTTGACAAGTTGCTGGGAAAAGCCAACAAAGAGGAAGCAGAGATGAAAAAATATCTAGTGAATGTGAAGCAGTGATGGCAGAGCTTATTTTTTATAAGTTTCAGCAACAGAGGATCCTGGAGAGGATGCACATTAAGGATAAAGTGGCTAACACATTCGGCTCTAGAGCACGCTGGATGACAGGCAGGTGCTCTGAGCCCAGGCTAATGGCCACTTCTGGGTGCAGCAAGGTTCTTTGGTGTCCTTCTCTGACATGTGTGTGACAACAGCAAGCTGTTCTTGTTTTTGTTTTTGTTTTGTTTTGTTGTTTTTTTTTTTTCCTAAAGGTTCTGTAGTGGACACACCATAACATCTGCAGAGCTGGTTTGGGGCCAGTGTCTTTTAGTCACCTCTACAGTCAAACAGACTGGGTGGGGAGATGACTTCGTCACTGCCTAAGCTCTTGTTTGTTAATCTTTTTTTGGCATGGAAGCTCTTTCTTCAAGTTGTTAGATTCCTCTTTTGCTTTCAGAGGAAACATCCCTCTATGAAAAAGTGTTTCTGTGAGATGAGGCAATGGTGGTGGTAGTTTTGCATCTATATAGGCGTGATAGCAGCTCACAAGCCCAACGAGAGTGGTTGTTTGTTCCACTGCCTGCTGACCTTGTCTTGCCTGCTGTACTTGTGCTGAGCACCGTACGGTGTGCGTGGGCTGCCTTCCAGCTCCACATCCCTGTATGCTCATAGCCTCGCTGCTGCTACAGCCTAACGCAGCTTTGCATGCGTGCACAAATCCATGCATATGAAATGCAGTAGGAAAGGCAGTATTAAACTGCTTCAAAATCCATTTGCTTCTGAAGTGAGATTTGGAGAAATGTCTATGCATTTTCCAGAAGGATGTGGGATTCCGTTTCACTGAAGCTCTTTTACAGTCTCTCCTCCTGTACCATTCTGTTTTGTTCGCTATTATTTAATCTTGCCATGCATGCTGTTTAAAAGTTCAAAGTAGAAATGTCACCACAGAATAAATACAAGCTGATTATGACTGATCCTCCTGATGAACCACTTATCAGTGGGTGATAGAAAACCATGCTGCCATGGTGAAGAACAACCCACTACTTTATCAAATGTCCATTACAGAATGGCATCAAATAGGGCCTCTATCAAGACCAGCAATGTCTGCTGGACATTCTTTGCTGAGCTACTTATACTTCTTATAAAAAGGAAGGTAAAAGATCCATGAGGACCAAATATCAATCCAGGATGAAAATGGATGCCATATCTCATTTTGAAGACCACTTTGTCTTGTTTTGTTTTGTTTTTGTTATTTTGGGGCTTATTTGCAAAGAGCTAGACAACTTTTAAGTCATCTTCGTTCCTGTTCAAAATAACCTGCAGAATCTTACTACCAAAGAAAGAGATTTTTTTTTATTTTTTTAATTTTTTTTTATGAAAAAGGAGAATTTTACACACCAGGCTTCTTGTATAATCAAAAAGTGAGTGAGTCAGCTAAGTAATTTTTTTTCTTAAATGCTTGAAAAATATCTGAATTGTACATTTTCACTGAAATGTAAATTGAAAACTAAGTTCCTCACCATCTTTGTTTTCAGGGATATATTAACAAATATGTTTGTTAATACCTTGTTCCAAATATACCTCCTATATTTAGTTAGACTCAGTAAAAATCACAGAATTTAGACTCTCAGTAAAAATCAAAGGTTAAAAAAATCAATGTTTTATGATTTTGAAGATGACTTTGTTCAAGATTTGAGATGTTTTAAGCAGTTTTGTTCTATTCATTTGGGTATTAAATGCCTAATTCTTCGTTATTTGTCAAATGCCCATGTAATTAGCGTACAGTTTTGCTATTTCAGGCTTATCTTCGTATTTTAAGCATTTACAGTTTGTAAGAGCTGGGTTAGAAGAATGATCACATGCAGTGATTTCCTGTGATCATATTATTTAACGGTTACACCTAATTGTCTAGATTATTAGTGACTTGTGACTAGGGTAGGTTTATTGTGCCTTGCAAAATAATTTGGGTTGGTAATGTTGGCCAAAAAAAATATATATATATATATATATAATATATATATATATATATATATATATTATATATATATATTTATTTATTATGGTCATTAGCTTTTAAAATAAACCAGAAAAAGCTTTTTTTTCACATAATTCCATAATTCTCAAAGTGTGTTATGTAGATTGCAAAGTGGCAAGTCTTGAATGAACTGAAACCTTACTCCTAATGTTGTTGTCATGCCATGTTTTCTAAAGTACAAATATCTGAGCTGATGCCAGGCAGCTGACTGAGGAACAGAAGTTAGAACCAGAGAAATGCTGCATGCTCATCTTGGACCTGACCTTACTGTTGAAACAAGCTGTATTTAAATACAGACTTTTATTTACAAATAGATGTTTAAATCAAGGTTCACCTCAGAGCTCCTAATGCCGGGACAGAATACCTATATGTTCAGCTCTATGGGGAGCTCATTTGTTGTACACAACCTGATTCTCAGATGTATGCATTTGAAAGTGTTGTCAGTCTATGTTATTGCAGAAGTTCTCATTTCCTAGAAAATACCTCTCAATTTCATCTTTTTTTTCTTCTCAAAAGTGCTTACAAGATATTATGTTTGACCTCTTTTTTCTTTTTTTCTTCTCCAAGTTGTTATTAGGTTCCCCTGGTATGAAAAACAAAGTATGTAGGAAGAAATAATATCTCTTATTAGACAAGCTAATGTTAAAAAAAAAAAAAAAAGGACAAGTTTTCAGGTACTCAAGCTCTTCTTTGAGTGTTCCCCAAACTCATGCAGTCATCCCAGCTCTGTCACTTGGTCTAAAAAAAGGTATTATTCTTCCTTCCAGCTAACCTTTTGTATATACTTTTATTATCTAGACTACAAGAACATTAGGAAACTGTTGTAGTGTTTTACAGTTTTGCCTACTTATTTAATTCTACTGAGAGCTCAGAGAACATGTGGAGATCTCTCTCAGGTCCAAACCAACACTATGAACTCTCACTGCCATCCAAGCCCCCTTTGGACAGTTGCATCTTACTCAGAGGATCCTGAGCAGGATCCAGTCTGGTTAACGTTAGCCCCTAACTTGTCTCTGCATTTTAGTCTCATACTGAAGCAGTCCTGTGTAGAATAAGTGCCTAAGTACTTTGTGTAGTCCAAGGTAAAAGGTAGGTACTTTTGAAGGGACTTCCATCTCTCTGAAATAAGTCAAATGAATGCCATTTGCTGTTCCTTATTCATCTTTTTTTTTTTTCTATTTCACATAAATTGTATTTATTGTTTGTCTTTTTTTACTTACCATCTAAATTAAATGTTTTTCTGTTTAAATGAAAGCTTTTCTTGAAGGTCCTTACTGAAATGCAGGTGTACCTCCCCCACATCTTCTAAAGTAATGAAGTAAGAGATGACTGAGTGGACTTGTTACCATAAAGCAGAGCTTATGGCCTAAATGTCCCCGCTTCAGTGATGGTTCTGTCATCAGTCTGATATTAATTCGATGCTCTTAGTTCCTATATGATTTTAGAAATGAACCATCAAAAGAAAAATCAGCGCAACTGTTGGCTACTGCACAGTGTAGTCTTCATAGGTACTTTCAGAGGAGACACAGGAAACAAATTATATTCATCCCAATTATATGACCCAATCTTGAAGGTGTTTTAAATGTTAGTTATCTTCTTCATACCCCCTGTTGTGCTAGGGAATAGTATTGCCCCTGGGCTTCACACAGAGTTTAAATGACTTTTAATTCCACACTCGCCTTATAGAAGAGACACAAACCAGATTTAATTTGCCTGAACTGTAGGCTGGTGCCGTTGCCATATTCTCCCACTCCGAAGACAAAAAGGTGAGAGATGCTATTTGGGGACTTTAAAACGTGGTTACCAGATTATAAATGCCTTTTGTTAAAATAAAAAAAAAAAAAAATCTCTTAGCAAGCTACACCCAAAGCTCCATATCCACTGAAAACAACATGGTGTTTTGTTTTGTTTTGTTTTGTTTTTTAATGGCACCTTTTAATTAACCCTATTGTTTCTCCATACAGGCATGAACGCTTTACAATTACAGAATTTGGCAACTTTAGCAGCTGCAGCAGCCGCCGCCCAAACCTCAGCTACCACCACCAATGCAAATCCTCTCTCCACAACGACTGGTGCTCTGGGAGCCCTCACAAGTCCTGGTAAGAGCAGAGTGCTTGCTTTCAAAATACAAAAATGAGAGTAAATGGGAAGAAAATAGTTACAATTCTGATTCCGCGCTGTGACTAAGTTCTGTTCTCATATAAATTCTGGAGACCCTTTTAATAACTGAATACATTATTTTTGATGTTATTTTTAAGGAAATACCTTATTTTTCAAGCTTTCCTATATGGCCATGCTCTCTGTTCCAGATTCATTTCAGGGGCTATTAAAGCCTAACAGATCCATCATGCAAAACTCTACATGAAAATTGCAATTGCGTGGGAAACTTAAGCTAATCTTAACTTTTCAGAAAGAATTCTGAACATGTGCTAATCCTTCCCATCCTACAGAAATATCAAACAAGGTGGCACTTCTTAATCTCTGAGAGACTGATCTTTGATTCCCAGCCCATCACGCAAATACTGCCTTCACCCTTCATGAATTTTTGTGCAGTCCTCTCTTTTTCTCCTTCTCTTTTCTTTGCCATAGCTGTAGAGCTTTCTGTAGAGCGTTCTTCTGGTCCTGAAGTGATATCAGATGTTCAAGAAGTCCACAGCCAGAATCTGACTTCATTACCCTAAACTGTATGGGGAAATAAGGGACAGGTTAAGAGATAGTGGTGCCTCCATTACAACCGTATAGGCATTCAGCCATGCACTTCCCATGTGTGCAAAACCCTTCCCACTAAGACAGGGCAGATTCGGAGTTCAGTACCACTTCAGTATCTCCAGAATCCATGTAGAGAGGTGTTAATTCAGTGTAGTTACTCTGGATTTACAGTGAAGAAGCTGAGTCAAGAATCTGGCCACTTATCTTTACATAAAGGCTGCAGGGTGTAATTATTTGCATCATGAAGTGTGTTTATTGCTGTTCTAAAAAACATTTGTATTATTTTAGACACCACTAAAGAACATTTGTGTTTAATCTTGTTTAAGTGTGTATTTATTTCCCATGAAAAAGTAATTCATGGCAGACGGTTTGAGCTCATCAGTAAGGAAAACAGTCTTCACTGCACAATAGAACTGGGACTGAGTGTGTTGCCGGGTGTTAAAGCTGGCCAATGCTTCCTGCTATATTACAGTTTTATTGTTCGTTTGGGGGAGAGGTTAAATGGAAGGCAGCTTGACTAAATAGTAAGTTTGTGCAGCATTTTCCTGTTTCTGGTGTGAGCTTCGTATCGACCTAAAAATAATCAGCCACAACAGCTCTGAGAAGCAGGTTGGGTCAAAATGATTTTGTTTGGATGATTTATTTTAAAAAAAAAACTCAGCAAACTCTTCTCTCCATCCTGGAGCTGGGTCTTAACACATTGCAAAAGGGTAGTCTGAGTGTCAGTGCTTCTGCGCTGCTCCTGTCTAAATGTCACACGTTTAGAGAAGCGGAAATGTTGCATTTCATGCGTGCTGTGTAATATCTCTGCAGTTTAGCTGTTAAATGTCTGAGTAGCCTGTCCTCCCAAGGCATACGCAGCTTCTCTTGAGCTACACTGACAAGACTTCTCAGGACAACTAAATGTACTGCACTTCAGCAAGGAGGGTCTGGAAGTGAACTTTCCCATAATCTGCAGCAAAGGGGCACGAGATTCTCAGGCAGCAGCATGTTTCTGCAGTGCTCTTTGCTATGCCGTGTTAGCACAGAACTCGAATTCACAGTTAAGGTCCACATTTTTTTCCCTCTCCCTCCAACACAATCTCCTTCTCCAGCCTGGCTGAGTTGGTCTCCAGTCTCCTGAGTGCCTGTAAGGATGAGTGGTATCAGGCAATGTCCAAGTCTGCAGAAGCACATGCTTAAGAAGGTGCTTTGGCTGGGCTGGGCAGATACTTGTTTGAGATAACAACAGCGTAGCAGTGCTCAAGGTGCCATCTTGGAACAGATAGCAAGGTTTTTCCAAAGAGATTAATGATTCTGGCTGACACATTGAAGATGCGGTATTTTCCAAAAAATCATGGATGGTTAGCCTCTGAAATAGTGTATTAAGAATGACAATTGCTTTTGAAAGTCTGATAGAGAGTTAGTAGCTGTACACAAAGTTTTTTAATATTAGATAGATTGGCATACCCAAGAGAAAGTCTGTGTCTAATAGGTTCATTAACCTGTTTGTGTTGCACTGCCAGCCTAAAACCAATCCCTGTTAAAATGTCCTTCAGTTTAACCTTTCTTATCTTGTTCCACATTCTCCACCCTATTAAATATTTTGTAAACCTGAATAATATCTTCAATGATTCTTCTCTGTTCTTTGTAAACTGAATTTAGTTCAGTAAAGCTTTCAATAGTAGCTTAAAGTATTTCCATTAGAACTTGAAATATGTTGGCAGAAAACATTTAAATCTGCCTTTCAGTCTGTGGATGTTTGGAAGCCTTGAGGGTATTTTTTTGGTCTAGTTTTCTTTTAATAGAACACTTCAGTTTGTTGTGTTTCATAAGTGTAAATTATTTTGTCTGATTTCAAAGCCTGCACTAAGCCCAGGAAGAAATGTTTGTGTCTCTCCAGATAATGTATTAAATTAATATTTCTCAGTTCAGAAAGCTGCCCAAATTTAGGAAAGTGCAAAGGTACATGCTTAAATTTAATCATTTTCTTGATTCTGTTAAAGCCAAAATACTGCACTGAAAAGGGATAGGCATGAGCATGTATTCCTGATATGCCTTAAGCTATGGCAGCCACATCACATAAATTGTGTCCATGTGTTTACCCATATATAACCATACCCCTCCTGAACATCTCTCCTGTATCTGTCTTTGACTAAGAGCTCTTGGTTTGTCCTTTGTAGACATCTGTCATAAGAGCCCCAGTTTGTGACTATGTCAGTTCAAAATCATCTGGCAGCTTAATTTTATGTAGGTAAGATTAGCAACCTTCAATACATCAAACTACTAAGGTGAGGATGGAGGTGAGACCAACTTTGGTGCATTGGCAACACAGAAAAACAGGCCAAGAGGTGAGAAACCAACATGGTATCTGATATTTGAGAATGTCAAGTTTTGCTGCTGGCTTCTAATGGCAATATATTCACGAGGAAAAGAAAAATATTCAGTACCTAATAGTAACTGTTCAATTTGTATGAAACTCCTTCAAGGTTCATACAGTCACATATCTCCAAACAAATTAAATGCCAATGATCTTTCTCTCATATGTTCTGTATACTTACTAAAGAGCTTTGACCGCCAGAGAGTCTAAGGACACTCATTCTCCTCCATGTGCTAAATACTTTCTCTTAAGCTTGAAATGCTATTCATTCAGAAAGAACAGAGACAATGCAATCCCCCAAACTATTAATTTTTTTATAATTGTAAATTTATAATTTCAATTTTGCATACCCATGGAAGTGTCTCCCTACAGCATTGTTAGAAATGATTTTTTAAAAGCCTTTGCTTAAAAAAACATGAAAGATTAAGCTTTCATTTTAGTAAAAATCCCCTCAGGCAATAAATAGGTTCTTTTGTCTCTTGGCCCTGGAAAAAAAATTAAAATGGTTTAAATTGCCCATGGTTAAAGTAACTGTTTCGTGCAATTATCAGATGGTAGTGAATAAAAATGAAAATGAAATCATGAAAGAATAAAAACCAGGTAAAATGCATATTATGTCTTTCATGAGTTTCTCACGGGTCTTTTGAAGACTCATTTAATCATCTTCCTTGTCTTTTATTTTGATATGATAATTGTTTCCTTTATTTACTTTAATCACCTCTATTTAGTTAATTAATTCTTCAATTTCTTTTCATTTCACTTAACTTACAATACTTTCCTGTTTTAAAGGCATGTAGTGTAGTACTCCATAATGTAGGGGTTTGGCCTTGGGGTAGTTTTTACCCAACTCCATGTGGCCATGTGCATTGTCTGAGCCAGTTTGTCTCAACTCCGCCTTGGTTGGGTCTCAGAAGTTTGCATTTCCCATTAGCTCAAAAGGGAGTTTGGAAGAACTACCTCAGATGTAGATATTAGCACTGTAAATTTCATAATTTAGGCAGGAAAAATCTCAGCTGAATGTTGAGAATCTTGACCTCTCCATCAGAGAACATCCTTTACACATCCTGCAAACATATGGAATAGCACAGAGCCCACAGAGAACCTGCTACTCAGGTTGACATGAAGGGGGGACATATAAGCCCAGGATGAGGGTATCTGTCTCTAACAGTCTGACATTTCCTTTGCCTCATTTGACCTATTACCCTAATTTTCCCACAGACAGTGTTTTTTTCTGGTCTTCATAGGTAGTACAGCCTTGATACTTTCCTGATATCAAGAGCTATGAAGCTCCCGATCTTTTTGTAAACTGATATTAAGCAACAGCAGAAAAACTTTTTGCACTCTAAAAAGGAAGAAGAATATGGAAGTCGGGTTTTAAATACCAACTTATTTTGTCATCTTGTCCTTTTCCACCACTGCATAGTTTTTTTCTTGTTTAATGCCATAACATGGCAGTCACAAAATCATGCAGGCTGCAAGAGTCTTTTCCCAAGGTCTCTACTCTGGGCTCCTGCTCAAGGCAGAAACACTTAGAGCAAGTTGGTGAACTCTGCATTCAGTCAAGGATTGAACATCTCCAAGAATGGAGATTCCACTGCTTCTGTGGGCTTGTTTCAATTTTATTTCTTAAAATTCATGCATAAATGTTTTTTCAATAACCAGTAGGAAAGCTCTTCTATGTGCAAATGAAGAGACAAAACATCTAATTATACATCCAAATTTATCTGCATAAACATACTCAATATAAATTCTGAGCTGTGGGGGGATAGAATTGCTAAACCAGAAGCTAATTCAGTTTCAGACTTAGGAGCCTTGATTTTCTATGACATTTTCATGATTATTTGATTCTGTAAACTATTATTTATTCACACAGCTGAACTAGCTATTCATGCTTCAGTAACAAAGCTTTTCAGGTTTATCTGCTGTGTGAACCTAACAGGAAATCTTTGTGCAAAAAAAACGTACAGTGTAGAAAGTAAGACTTTTTTTCTTTAACAACCTCTTAAAATCAAGCCCAGTTTTGGCCATATT